TTAATCTCTGGCATCACATGACTCATTGCAATATTTAATAATATATTAACCTGGCCTGGTTTCAATATTTAAAAACATTGACCTTTCTTATTGGCATTGTGTTGTAATTAATTAGTTAAAAATCATCAAAAGATTTCAGTTCCAGAGAAACAGAAAAGTGAATCTTAAAATTTAGACTTCTTAGCCAAGTGCGGTGACTCATGCCTATAATCCCAACATTTTGAGAGGCTGAGGTGGGCGATCACCTGAGGTCAGGAGTTTGAGATCAGCCAGGCCAACGTGGTGAAACCCCGTCTCTACTAATAATACAAAAAGTAGCCGGGCATGGTGTCGCATGCCTGTAATCCAAGCTACTCGGTAGACTGAGGCCGGAGAATTGCTTGAACCTGGGAGGCGGAGGTTGCAGTGAGCTGAGAGAGCGCCACTGCACTCCAGCCTGGGTGACAGAGCGAGATTCCATCTGGAAAAAAAATATTGACTTATTTTTATGGACATTTAACTAAGTTGGTATTTTGGAGTAAATGGCTGTTATTGTTTTCCTCGTTGGAAATTGCATATGTGACTGGTGCTAGCTAACCGCTGGACTCCTTCTCTAGTTCACTTATATATAACACCACAAATGCCACTGAGGCCTGTTTATTCATGATACAGTTTCTACTATTTCTTACAATAATTTGGCTTACAAATTATGTTAGTTATTTGTGGCTTATGCAGATAAAAACAATACATATCTATACTATATGAACAGAAATATACTTAACAAAACCCCACAAATATCTATCTATAGTTATAGCTATGTATAAACACTTTCCTACTTAAGTAAATAAATTTAAATGTACATAATATTCACTCTTCTTTGATATTACTATCATAATTTTGTACATTTTATTTACATTAACTTTTTTCTTATGTGCATCACGTCCCTTTAGAAGCATAATTTATTTCATTTCATGATCTTTGTTACTACAAATGATCACAACTTGAAAAATGGGAGCTCCTTTAAGTTGACTATTTTTCCTTTCAGCAGTGTCCCTGCCATTTAGAAAACAAATCACTCTTGTTTCCTGGCAACAACAAAATGTTACAGACCTATTCTGATTTTATTCTGCCCAATAACATGAAATTGACTATCCTCTAGTGGTTTCTGGTTCTTTTTTTAAATAGAACAATATTAGAGACAAAAATCTGGTCACTAGGGATGTTTACAAGTGTCAAGTGGGGAAAGAGTACAGCTATTGCTGCTGCTTTGGGAATTCTCTTGGTAGTGACTGAGCTTAAAGAAAATACTTCTTTTATAAGTGTGTAAAAATATTGTTCTTTCCAGTATAGCTTATCATATCGTTATCCCTTATTTTTCTTATTGTATGAGATTTCAGCAATTACTAAGAGTTTCTTCCTCTACATTGATGCACTGTGTCACCCAGCAGCACGGTAGCCCACTTTCCTCCCACCTCCTCTCTCACTCTCTGTTTTCTGGGACAATGGTTCTCAGCCTAGTTTTCATATTGGAGCAACTTGGGGAGCTTTAAAAATGTTGATATGGGTCCCACTATCATAGCTTCTGATTTAACCTTCCAAAAAGCAGAATATGGTGTCAGGATTTTCTAAAAGCTCCATAGGTGATACTAAGGTGCAGCCAAAGTAAAGAACCTCTGTTCTAGAAAAGTGTTGCAACCTGAATAAAACCAACCAGGCACACTCCCATGAAATTACACCACAGAGGTTCCAGGGATATCAGCTTGACATTATAAACAGAGAAATTAAATGAATGCTTATCTTTTGACTGCTTTGCTTCAGGAGTTTTGGGGATGGGGACTTGTTAAAGAGGAAAACACATCTGCCTTTTTTTCAATCTTCTTGAAAGACTCATGTGTACAGGTCGTTGACTTCTCCAATTGCTCCGCTAGCATTTCTGTCTTTCAGCCTCATCTTCCTCACTCTTTCCTAACCTTGCTCTAATTACTTCAAGATTTTAAAAGGCCTTGATTTCTTCGTCTTTGAGGTTAAGATAATGTCTGCATGTGACACACACTAAATCTATTAAAATTCAACAACGTACTGTAAAGTTTGAAAAAACCGTAACAAGTTAGCAGTCAAGGGTCCTAGCTGCCTATAATGATTTGAGAAGCTATAACAGAAGTCAAATCTGCTTCTCTGGCTATGAGATTCCAGAAGGTCAACTGCAATGTTAATCCACACTTTTCTTATCCTTTTTTTATCCTGTCTGTACACACTTTAGGGAGTACTACATGTCTAAAGAAGTCTGAAGTATGACCACTAGGATTAAACACTCCTCTGCCCCCACCCTCTGCTTCTCTCTCTCTCTTTCTTGGGGTTTTAGGCATCATAAAATTAATGAATTCATCTGATATAGGGAACTGATAGTTGATTATAATTATAGACCTTATTGACATATCTACCTCCACTTAAGTTACTTTTCCATGATGGAAGCCTGCATTCTTATAGTATGAAAAACAGAATGTCTGTTTTAGTAAGAGGACAAAGGCCTAGGACCTACTCTATTTCTGTGCAATCTATTAGTATTAGTTCTTCACTTAGTTCCCATACACACCCAAGTCTGGGAACCATTTTCTTAGGGCATCGAATAAGGAAGGGTAGTCGCTTCTCTAATGAGAAGGGCCTTAACAGAAGATGGTGAATTATTCTTTGCTCAGAGGAGTTTAGCTGCCCTTTTCCCTCAATTCCCTCCCTGCTAAGGATATTATAGACAGAGTCTTCTGTTTTTGTGGGCTGCCATCTCAGAAGCTTTGTCTACTCTTGATATATTGCCTGGTTAGGATTTTAAGAAAATAATAGATGATGCTTTCAAAAATATGGCCATCTCAATTCCCTCTTTCTTAGGAGTCTCAAACTTTAATATGCAAATGAATCCCCTGGAAACCTTGTTAAAATGCAGATTCTGCTCCAGTAAATCTGGGTGGGACCTGAAATTCTGAAGATCTAATATGCTCTCAGATGATGCTGATGTTGCTACTCTGAGGAGCAAGGTGCTAGCTTTGGTTCTCAGCTTTGGCAGCATGTTAGAATATAGTAGGAATATTTTAAAAAATAATGATCCCTAGGTCCCACTCCTAGAGATTTTGATTTTTCTGACTTAATTGATAGAGAATATGGCCTGGGCATCAAGAGTTTAAAAAACTCTCCAAGTGGCCGGGTGCAGTGGCTCACGCCTGTAATCCCAGCACTTTGCAAGGCCGAGGCGGGCGGATCACCTGAGGTCAGGAGTTTGAGACCAGCTTGGCCAACATGACGAAACCCTGTCTCTACTAAAAATACAAAAATTAGCTGAGTGTGGTGGCGAGCCTGTAATCCTAGCTACTTGGGAGGCTAAGGTAGGAGAATCGATTGAACCTGGGAGGAGGGGGTTGCAGTGAGTTGAGATCGCGCCACTGCACTCCAGCCTGGGAGACAGACTGAGACTCCATCTCAAAAACAAACAAACACTCTCCAAGTGACTTTCCTGTGCAGCAAAATTTGAAAACCCCTTGTCTTAGTCCACCATCAAAAGTTAACCAATATCACATGTTTTTTTGTTTTTTTTTTTTTTGTAAAATGGATCTTTTATTCACTCCTCATGCTATAAAATACAGCATGCTTAGATAGTTCACAGCAGTGGTTTACAAATCTCTATCCTCACTGACCCTGGTGTGGAGAAACTTCCATCAGAAGTGGTAAAATAAGAAAAATAAGGATAAGAATTATATAGTGAATTTCATAAAGCTCAAATGATTCATTTCAAGGATTATTCTTTGAAATTGTGTTTCACACCTTTTTGATGTTAAAAATATCCTTTGTAAATTAAATTAAGGTAGTAACATACTATATCTGTTTATTTGCTTTTCTCATGCTCTTAATTTGGTAAATAAAGAGTTGCAAATCTTATGTTGATCTCCACATATTTTTGGAAATTTTGCTGGTTCATGAAATTTGAAAATCTGGGAGCCATGGGCATGATAAATCCATTAAAAATTAGAAAAAATCTGATCTGTAAGTCTAGAAAAATATTGTTATAGAAATAAAGTTTTTAATCTTTGATCCTCTAATCCCTGGGGCCAAGCAGTCCTTGAATTTTGTAAGCACCAGAGTTTATTGCTTTCTGTGTCAGTTCAGGTCCACTAAGAAGCAGACTCCAAGAAGGAATTAGACTTGCAAGAGATTTATTGAGGGAAACACCAAGAAACAAAATGACAGAGGAAGCAGGAATGGGCCAAGAGGGCCTTCAGACAGGGAGGCAGGTCTGACCCCTGTGGGAAGGAAGGACGGGTGGGTAGGGAGAGCCTCATCCAGTAGTGCAGCTCTGAGAAAGTCTCAGCCAGGCTGATGGGGAGCCCCAGAGCACAGACTGCCCATCAGAGGGGTCCCCTGTCAGGAAGGAATGGCCCAGCGCTATTCTCCCCACCGTGTTCTGTCATCAGTTTGGAACAGCCTAGGGAGGGTGACCTTAGCAGGAATGCTGCAGGGCATCCAAAGGTGTAGCAGCTAGAGTGTCAGCCAATGGCTCTCTTCACAGCAAGTTCTCTTCTGTAGGGCGATCTGTGTGTGCATTTCCATGGCTGCCACACTGGGACTTGCAATTCCACAGTGAAAATGTATCTTTTTTCTGTTGGATGATGTAAAAGAAAATTAGCCATATGGCAGGTCATTAATGTTTCTCTGTATATCTTGCTTTTGGTCTTGCCCCTTTTAACCAATGGCCATTTATCAATTATAATTCATCATTATGTCTGCTGGGCCCACAATTATCTCCATAAAAAATGTAAAATCGCTGGTCACTGGATAAGTCGTGGAAGGTAGAACATCTGGCTTATGTAATGAATACGTGTTTAATATTACCTTTTAAACCTGTAATGTTGGTAGGTTTTTTCACGTAGTAAAAATTCTATTTGTTAGTATTTCTTGTTATTATTTCTTATCTTATATGAAATAAGGCATTATTAAGCATAATTAACTTAGTTTATCTTTTTCTTGGTTTGCCACAGTGTATTGTCTAGCATGACAGATGCAGTATTGGCTCGAGTGTATAAACAATCAGATTTGGACACCCTGGCTAAAGAAGCATCCATCCCAATTATCAATGGGCTGTCAGATTTGTACCATCCTATCCAGATCCTGGCTGATTACCTCACGCTCCAGGTTGGTTTATTTATTTGTCTTACAAAAGAGAAAAATCAACAAATAATTCCTGACTTGCTCTAAGTGAAACCGTTTACTTAAATCATGGCATTGGTGTTTTATTTTCAAATACCAGCTTGACAAAGAATTATAGCTTATGTGTGCATTTTCTGGGGAAAACAGGGCATTGTTAAAAACAGACTCTAAGATCCTTCTGCACTCAACCCTATTCCCAGACTCTTTTAGCCCGTATCTCATCTTCTGTTCTGTCAATCCCTTTGATTTCGGTGCCATATTTAACACAATGAATGAATAGAGAACACTGGAGCATACAACATGGACAAGCCGTATGTGATTCTATAGACATCAGAGTCTGTGGCTTGGGAGTGAAGACTGGTGGAGTGTGCTTTGAATATTCAAAACGGTCAGTTACTAAGTCACTCTGGGAGAGGGGCTACTTTCTATCATTTTAATAAACTGGTTGTTTAAAAGTAGGTTTAAGAATATGCAGAATTTATAGAATTGGAGCTCAAATGTAGCCATTCTAGTCCTCCCAAATTAGGAACTTGAATAACTTTGTAAGATTTCCCTTGTTTGGTTTGCCACAGCCAATCTACATGGTATTGCCTCTGGAAATCCTAACAGCCATGGTGTCTATGTCTATGGATGACTGAGGAGACAAGATAAACTGGATAGGCCCATCTTCTTCCACATTTGAATAAACTACACACATTTAAATGTGAGGTTAAGCTCAAAATAAAACACTTTGGACATGAGGATGAGATCCATGCAGAGAAGATGATATAATTATGTCAGATACCAAAGTGACTCTCTGGGGCTGTGGCTTTACATATACACCAGATAATTCAATGCTTCCCCCTAGGGCTTTATCATTCATTACTAGATTATAAATTATTGAGGGAAAATGAGCTGTCCTGTTCATCATAATGTCCCCTGCAGGACCTCGTGCAATGCCTTCATATAGGAGATACTTAAAGTAGGAGCTGAATGAATAAATAGCAGCTTGTTAAGAGCATGGAATAGAAATCAGATGGATCTGGAATTAAATTCTAGCTTAGCTAACTAGTAGTTCTGTGATCTCCAAATTGCTTAGCCTTTCTGTTTTTTAATCTTTTTAAATATATAAAATAATATATAAAACCTACAGACACTTCAAGAAAATAAAACAAACATTCACGTGTTCACACAGTTTTGTCAATTTTTAACGTGATGGAGTAGTTACTTTATAATTCTTTGCTGTTTTTCAATAAAACATTACAGATAGAGTTGAAGCCCACCATGTGACTCTGCCTGATCTCATTTTCTTCCCTTCCACAAACGTATTATTATCCCGATATTAGTATCTTTACACATATCTATAGCCATAAACAACCGACAGTATTATTATTATTTGAGACATAGTCTCACTCTGTCACCCAGACTGGAGTACAGCGGCATGATCTTGGCTCACTGCAACCTCCACCTCCCAGGTTCAAGTGATTCTCGTGCCTCAGCTTCCGTAGTAGCTGGGATTACAAGTGTGTGCCACGTCTGGCTAATTTTTGTATTTTTAGTAGACATGGGGTTCCACCACATTGACCAGGCTGGTCTTGAACTTCTGACCTCTGGTGATCCACCCACCTCGGTCTCCCAAAGTGCTGGGATTACAGGCATGAGCCGCTGCACCTGGCCAACTAACAGTATTATTGAGCATCTTTGTCAACTTCATATAAGGGGAACATGCTCTGAGACACCATGCTACACTGTTCCAGGTATTCTGTATTTCCCCTTTCTCATACCAAAGAATTTCAGCTCCATAAAAGCAGTGATTTTTGTCTCTTTTGTTTATTGTTATATCTCCAGGGCCAAGGACAGTGTCTCAGTGTCTGGACATCAAAGGTGCTCATTTGTATCCAATGAATGAATACAACTAAGATTCAGATTTGAAATGTATGAAACTCTTAGTCTCTGTACAAGTTCATATGATGCCTTGGTTTAAGATATTAAGACATTTTACCATGTTTTTGTGATTGTACATTCATCTTATTGAATTGCTCTGTGTAATGCAAAAAAATTGGGAATTCATTCCTTCTAACAAGGCACTAATATTGAGATTAAGACTATTTATTTTAACCTTAGTAATTGCTACGCATAAGCGAATTTACTCCTGGATTTCATCTCCTTCATCCCTTGCCTTTTAGGAACACTATAGCTCTCTGAAAGGTCTTACCCTCAGCTGGATAGGGGATGGGAACAATATCCTGCACTCCATCATGATGAGCGCAGCGAAATTCGGGATGCACCTTCAGGCAGCTACTCCAAAGGTAGGGAAACTTTTTGCCTTGAAACTAACCCCTCTCTTAAATCATCCTCAGATGCAATTACCCAGTGACAAAAAGGCTTTCTTCCATTTAAGTATAGCACAGGTGAGGCCACAAAATTTAGGTTACGTTACTAGCCCTACTATTAAATAGCTATCTGGCCTCTTGAGAGTCCAATTTCCGATCTCTACAATAAGAGATAGTCTTGGCTGATGCCTTTTATTCTATGAGTCAGTGTTAAAAGCATGTCTGAGTTATCCCTTTGAATACCCTGCTGTAGGCCATTATGATAACTGGCATCGTGCATTACCACCACAAAGGCTGAAGAAAGCAATAAAATTCAGGCAGCATAGAATTCTCAACCCATGGGAATGATACTGTCATTTTTCCAATACTGCAATTTGGTAGAAAAATGTAAATCCAATGTGAGGATCACAGTGATGGCATCTACATCAGCTTAGTATTTCAAAACTCAACTCTGGGGGCCTTTTGGCTTATAAAATTTGAGCCCCACGTGGCTATGAAAATGACCCCTGCATACCTCCTACCTTGCTGCTATCTCTCACAGCATGTGTGGAATACATGACTTCTTTCATAGGCCCAATGTAACCCTTTTGTTACACAAGAAACTGGTAATAATTGTTGCCTCTGAGGAGGGGAACTGGGAGGCTTGAGGATAGAGGTAGGAGGGAGATTTTATTTTCACCATACAGTCATGTATGGCTTCATAACAGGGATACGTTCTGAGAAATGGGTCCTTCGGTGACTTTGTCGTTGTGGGAACATCATACAGTGTACTTACACAAACGTAGATGGTATATATTTTTATTTATATATATTCTTTCACATGGTGAAATAAATGTTCCAGCACCATTACTAAATATCAACCTTAGGCCAGGTTCCCCACAAGCACACCACCGTGGGGATTTGTGTACAGATGATTCATTAAGGAAGTACTCCCAAGGGAGATCCCTAAGGGATTAGAGGGAGCAGGACAGGGAAAGGGAAGAATCTAAGCAAGGATGCCATTTACAGTGACCAACCATCCCGATTTGCCCAAGATCAAGAGATTTCTGGGGACATGGGGTTTGGGGTGCTAAAATTGAGAGTCCGGGCAAACCAAGGTGATTTGGTCAGCCTAGTCCCATGTCATGCACAGTCCCACAGAAAGCAGCTTCAGTCTGATCTCACAGGTGAGCTCTGGAGTGTAAGGTATGCCCTAAAGTTATCCCAGCATTGGTCAAGGGCAGCAGAAGAGGTGGAGTGGTAAATCCCCTGGCACTTTTGATGGGAAAAGCAGCCTGGTAGCCAGAGAGCTGTCCCCTGAAGACGAACTGCAAGCACTAGGTGTTAAAAACACTGAAACTGGGGGAGGGAGCAGAAGCCATGAAAAGGGATCTCCCGGGTACCTCTGAATAGAACACCAGCATCATCTGCTGCATCCGGCCAAAACAAAACTAGACACCACCAAATGCTTTCACCAGGTGTTTTTATCTTGCTGTCTTGGATTTTTAGGGCTGCCGTAACAAATTACTACAAACCGCACGGCTTAAAACAATAAAAATTTACTCTTTCACGGTTTGGGAGACTAGAAGTTTGAAATCAAGGTGTTGACAGGCCACACTCCCTGGGAAGCCTCTCAGGGAGGATCATTTTTTGCCTCTTCCTGCTTCTAGTAGCCCCAGGCATTCCTTGGCTTATGGGTGCATCTCTCTAATCTCTGCTTCCATCACTATACCTCTGAGTCTGTGTCTCTCTATACAAATCCCCCTCTTCTTATAGGGACACCAGCCATATTAAATTTAGGCCCACTTTTATCAAGTATGACCTCATCTTCACTAATTACATCTGGAAAGACTATTTCCACATAAGGTCACATTCTGAGGTTCTGGGTGGGCGTGAATTTTGAAGAACACTATTCAACCAAGTACACTTGCCATAGAAAAAATTTCCACTGCATGCAGTGGAAGTCATCCTATTATAGTAAATTTGCAGGACTCAGAGAGATGATCCTTACAACAGATAATTCTCCTCTTTTATTCAGCGTGAACTGAAATAAGGGTCAGATCCAATATGTGCTTAAGGTGGTTTTTATTCACTTTATGGGAAGGGTGAGTACACTCTCCATACAAAGCTAGTTTGAAGAAAGGCTCTGTATTAATGCAAACTCTTACTGCATTTGGTTCCCACAGATGAAACATACATTAACAATAATTGTTCGCTGGTATAAAGATCTTTTGGAAGGCTTCATTCTGTTGAAGAAATATATGGTTTAAACGTTTTATTGTATGACAAAGATGTTTTATTAACATCAAAGGAAAAATTTCTAATATTACAGAGTAATTGCAGTATTGTTCTTATGCAGAAACTCATTTAAATGATAAAGAGTACTAAAACCTGGTTAAACCTTGGTGGGAGTAAGAGTTTTGCAAAGTCTCCTGGAAAGTCTGATAGTGCAAAAGTCGTTCCATCAATTTGTAAGTCTTCAGTTGTTAGCAGACCTGTTTCCTTTAAAGATAAAGCTAGGAGATTTATTGTAAATTTTAGAAACACTGAAACGTTTCCAAGGCCATGATTAATCTATTTTCCCGTTCTTTAACCAAGAATAACTTACATGTTCAAGAAAAAATAATTTTGTCCATGATTGTAAAATTGCTCCATAACCTATCAATAGTAATGATTTTAACATTGTTCTAAGTGAATACTTAGACTGAACTGGGTGTGTTAATCACCTTCTTTGTCTGGTTTTAAAATTTATGTAAAGGCTAGTGAGTGATTTAGTATTGAAAGCTGAGATGTGAGTAAAGAATTCCTCTCTGTATTCTAAGTCATGCCACAGTGCATGCAAGGTTGGGTGATTTTCTAATTTCCAAACCTCTCTGTTGGTTCTCTAAGTACTTATTGATTCCTTTTCTAAGAATTATTATACTTAGGGAGTATAAAACCTACTCTCCAAAGGGAAGGCTAAATTTTCAGGGTAGGAGGCACCTAGGGTAATATCCAAGTCTCTTCATTTATGTTTACCAGTATGGCTGTTCACAACATTAGTTGCTAAATTAGCTAGCCTTTATTAATTACTTTCCCCAAATCTCTATAAACAAGGCCCCAGAATTCATCGCTACATGCGGGTAGAAAAGCTGCTAAAATATCCGCAGGCATCTTCATCAACCTCTGAGTAGTTTCTTCTTTCAAGAATGCTTTCATAGAAGAAGAAACTATGGTAGACAATCATGTGCAAATAAACACAATTTCACAAATAAACCTAGACATGCCTGTCACAGGTTGGGTTTCTTGGGAAGCAGACTCAGAGTTTAGTGTGCAGGACAGGCAGGATGCTTATTAGCATTTGCCCTTGAAATCAACAACTGTGGAAAGGAAGGGAAGGAAGCAGGAGTAAGAAGTGGGAGAAGCTGAGTTGCGATGCAGGCCCAACAACAGCCTTGGGTGATCTTATGGAAAGTTCTGGATCTGAGATGTCCGTTCAGCTGTCTGAAGTTGGGCATAGGGGGTCAGGTTTTCTTACCCTCCTGTCAATCAGCCATTGAATGTGGGTTGCCCCGAAAGGGTGTGCGACCTTGGCTGAGGCTGCTCTCTGCAGCTGAGGCAGTGCCCAAAGGGGGCTGACAGCTGAAAGCCATCTTCTGGCGGCACTCCCAGCAGCTGGGGGAATAAGTCCTTTATTCATGATTATTCATGGAGGGGGATCTGGGGAGCAGACCACAGCATTCACCACAATGCCTCAGTGAAAAGTGATAAAAGTCAACTCGTAATCAATGCTAACAGCTTGGGAAAATGAGAAGGATAGAGGAAGGTGAGGATAATGACAGTGTTTGAACTGACGAGACTTCCATATGGAGGGTCTTGGAGGTGAGGCTGGGCTAGAGTTTTGAGGAGCTGACACATTGTGATGAAGACACCCAGGAGGGGACAAGAGAGGAGGTGTTCAAGGGTGAAAGGCTGTGATGGCAGAAAAGGGCAAGATGTGTATAGGGATGACAATAAGATTGGCTTTCCTGCAGCAAGATGTTGAGAAGAATTAAAAGAGACAGAAGCAGGGGGTGGAGGTGGGGAGCCTTGATGCTCTTAATCAGTTTTGACTTAAGAAACAAGTAGTAAACATCAGAGGCTTCAGAGAAAACAGTTATTGCTGCTGTGTACAGAATAGGTTGGAGAGTGAGGGTAGAGACAGGGAGGCTGCCTGTGGGAACCTGGGATAGCTTGGGGAGCTTTAGCTGTTCCCATGACGTCCCCTCACCCAGAGTAGGAGCTAGGCTGAGCAAGCGAGTCACCTAGGGTGCAAAATTTGTGCATGCATGGCCCTGAGAATGCGTGTTTCTTTAAATCTTTTTATAGCGCCTCCTTAAATGTTTTGCCCTAGACACCTCGCTTGCCTATCCGGTGTCTGACTCTGCCCTCACCAAACAATCCCGAACAAATGTATAATCTTAGCAAAAACAATGTATTTGTTCTGTTAATGCCTTTCAAAACAAGCACCCTGCACTCAAAACGCTTGCTGGGGAATGCCAAAGAATGAGACGTGCGTAATGGGGGAGGGGGTATTGAGCTGGGATGGTCAGGGAAGGTTTTTCTGAGGAGGGGACATTTCAACTGAGACCTGAAAAAGTTACCCACATGGAGTGGGTGGAAGAAAGAATTTCAGACAAAAAAGGATATCATGTGCAAAGATAGACAAACATGCATTCATTTGTACACTTCTGAATATAATCCTCTTAAACCATTATGGAAACCGGAAGAGGTGTGTCCAAGAGTTAGAAAGCACCATGCCTTATGTTTGCCTTTATGATTAAAGAGGTTGGAGACAGTGAAAGATGGGGCCATTTGTTGTCTTTTTAAATTCCAAAAGGCACTATTGAGTTTGGAATTCTAGGTGTAAAAATCATATTTTACTGAACACGGTGGGACCACATCTTGAAAAAGGGACGGAGAGGAGATATTGAAAAGAAAATAATATATATGGAAGAAAACATGTATAATAAAATTACCTAAATAACAGTTAAATTCTTCCTCCTGTAGGGTTATGAGCCGGATCCTAGTGTAACCAAGTTGGCAGAGCAGTATGCCAAAGAGGTATGCTCTTTACATGTAAAGCTATGATTGCCTTTTACTGTCCCATGAAGTTATTTAACCAGCGTGCTTATGTATGCTAGAATGGTACCAAGCTGTTGCTGACGAATGATCCATTGGAAGCAGCGCATGGAGGCAATGTATTAATTACAGACACTTGGATAAGCATGGGACAAGAAGAGGAGAAGAAAAAGCGGCTCCAGGCTTTCCAAGGTTACCAGGTTACAATGAAGGTACAAATTGATGCCTCTCTGAAGGTTCATTAATTCCATTCATAAAGGCCAGAACCATCTAATCACTCATTCACTTTAGGGGGAGCAGACTGTCCTTTCATTCCCTATAAAAATACTCACTGACTGTATCCCCTAGGGACTTCTCTCCTTCCAAAGATAGGCTGTGTCCTTTGGAAAGGCATTTTTGTGCTGGAGGAAGCAATTTGAAACCTGGTCAGAAGAGAGGAGCAGGCTTTTCCCTTTCACAAGAATCGAGGCATTGCAGTGTTTTACTCTTTGTGTGTTTAAAGAAATTAGGTTACTTCTGATGCATGCAGTTTCTTGTGATTTCTCCACTAAGAAAAGCCCCTTAACTATGCTCCTCAGGCTAGTCCTTGCCTCCATTTTCCAAGGACCTCTAAATCCAGTTTGGTTTTGCTAACTCCCTCCAGGGCATTCCAGGGGACTCATCTGTTTGGCGGTCTTCCAGTAAGATCTGGAGCAGTGCTTCTCAGTCTTGAGCAGGTATTAGTATCCCCAGAGGAGTTGTTAATACACAGCCGGCTGGGTCCCATCCCCAGGGTTTCTGATTCAGTAGGTCAGGGTGAGACCTGAGAATCTGCATTTCTACCAAGTTCCCAGGTGATGCAATGCTGCTGCCTCCAGGGCCACACTTTGAGAAGCAATGTTCTGGAGAAATACCCTAAAAGCCAAGTGCACAGAGGTTTTGTCAGCAAAGCAACAAATCTACTTTGGTGGAGAAAGGGATTAAGCAAGTACAATTAATATTATATTGATAAAGTAATACATAAATACAAGTTCTTTATTGTTACATATAAAATAGAACAGAAGTTTGAAAAATAAAAAGTAAAAATGTCTTTCTCCCATCTCTTTGAGACTATTCCTAGAGGTAGCCACTGTTTAACAATTTGATGTGTCTCTTTGCAGACCTTTTCTGTGCATTCACATATATATGCCTCAATACACACGTAACTATTGATTTTTCATAAATTTTAGACATTATTTATTATTATTATTATTACTTTTTCCACTTAACAAATCTTAGATTTTCTTGCTCATTCATTTAGATATATTTTTTTCTTAGTTGCTGCATAGAATTCCAAAGGATAAGTGGAACCATAATTAACTAAAAATGTTTCCTATTGATAAATTAGGCTATTTCTGAGAATGCCGATTACAAAAATGCTGCAATGAACTTGCTTATACATATTTCTTTGTGCAAATATTACTGGAGAATAAGATCCTGAGAAGAAGAATTTTGGGGTGAAGTGGTATATACTTTTTAAAATATGAGAGTGCTGCTAAATTGCTCACCCAAAGAAGATTAAAAATGTATGCTCCTGAAGCTGCATATTATAGTTATTTTTCCATACCCTCTCCATGTTTAGTTTTCATTTACATTTTTAATTTTTCTAAATCTGGAGGCAAAATGGCATCTCATCTTTTTTAAAATTAGCAATTCCTTGGTTAGTAATGAAGTTAAGCATCTTTTTATGTTTATTGGGCATTGCCCTTTTTTCTATAAATTGCTATTACATTTTTTGCCCATTTTCTATTTTTTCACCTTTTCTATTATTGATTATAGGAGCTCTTTATATATTATGGCTAATCCCTTATCATACATGTGGAATATATTTTCATGGAGATATTTTAAATTACATAAATCACCTCATACTTACACTTGCTTGGCCAATCTTATATGTGTTTCTGGTGCTGGAACTGTAGGCTTGAAGAACAGTCATTTTATTGATGTATGGTATGTATAAATGTTTTTTTTTTCCATGTAATTTTGCTGGTATTTTAGAAACTCTAAGTGTTCTGAACCTAGAGCTTGGGTGGGAGGTAAAACAAAATTTTAGTATAAAGGCAGTAATTTTGAGGTAAGAAAGTATGAAGGAATGTAGTTCTGAATCTGTATGTGAACAATAGAAATATATAGGGAAATGTAACTTTCAGGAATTAACTGTTGGAGAAAATTAAAACTGCTAGTACATTTGCATTAAGAATGAAAAATCAAATGCATAGTGCTTATAATCCTGTTTAATTCACCCCTACCTCAGTACTTTTATCCAAATTGTTTTAACTAGTGATGAAGTATGCTTCAAGTGCTAAAAATAATAATTTGGAGATAAGCTCCAAATATAATATTATCACACCAAAGCAACTTTTTAAATATAGCGGACTATAATTGGTGACTTTTGCTATCAGCCACATATTACATTAGTAGAGTTGTTTACTGAAATGTCCACTGTTCCACTAGATAGAATACCAGAAAACTGAGTTACTGGTGTAACTTGAAGTGATGCTCTCTTAAATTTAAAAAAAAAAAAAGACTTGCTGGGCACAGTGGCTCATGCCTGTAATCCCAGCACTTTGAGAGGCCGAGGCAGGCAGATCATTTGGGGTCAGGAGTCCGAAACCAGCCTGGCCAATATGGTGAAACCCTGTCTCTACTAAAAATACAAAAATTAACTGGGCTTGGTGGCGCATGCCTGTAGTCCCAGCTACTCAGGAAGCTGAGGCAGGAGAATTGCTTGAGCTCTGGAGTCAGAGGTTGCAGTGAGCCGAGATCGCACCACTGCACTCCAGTCTGAGCCACAGAGCGAGAATCTGTCTCAAAAAAAAAAAAAAAAAAAAAGAAAGTACCATGTATATTTCTCCTGAGTATCTTGAGATAAAACCACCGCTCTGCTCCTTGTCTCTCCCTTTGCATTGATCTCTGACTGCAGGCCATGTGTGTTTTTAAATACTGAAGAAAACAAATATGACTGCCACATATAATAGTCAAAATATGGTCTTATCCCCATCTCTTTAGACTGCTAAAGTTGCTGCCTCTGACTGGACATTTTTACACTGCTTGCCCAGAAAGCCAGAAGAAGTGGATGATGAAGTCTTTTATTCTCCACGATCACTAGTGTTCCCAGAGGCAGAAAACAGAAAGTGGACAATCATGGTAAGCAAGAAACAAGGAATGGAGGATAAGTTCTTTGTGTGGTTCCAACTTGGTCATTCATGCCTTTGGGGAAAGAATAAGCAAGTGAGATTATCCAACTACATTACTTGCTCGTGTAACATCTATTTTTTTTCCAGAAACTGTATAATATATCATTAGTGCTTATTAGCATTTATAGTGTATTTGCATGGCGTGAGATTAATCTCCTTTCAAAAAATCCATTTTAACCAAAATTCTTACCACCCTTGATCCGCCTGAGCACCAGCCACCATTGTTTGCCAACCATTGTAAGTTGTATAATTCTTATTTTAGAATCTCTTTGTTCATGTTTAGAGAAGCCCCTAATTCAGTTCTTGTATAAACTGGGCATTCAAAACATCTTACTTTTTCCCTTCTCTTTTTCGTCATTCCATGCCTTACTTTATGACTGGGCTAGATTCTTGTTTTGGTTCTTTGAGTTTGGCCATAGGGATACATGTGTTTTTGGGTATAGAACATTTCCAAATTTCATGGCAAAACTTATCTTAAAAATTAATGGCTCCTTTCAGATAAAGCCACTAGTTTCATCTCCATCACTGTCATTCTAGGAAATACTAACCATATGTCTACTTTACAATATCCCAAATGTCACCTGCTCTGGAAAATAGTACTGACATGTCTAACTTAGCTCCACCATTTTTTAACTTTTAGTGACTTAACTGGTCTCAATTACTGTATCAGCCAGGATCTTACTTGCAAACGGGAGTCCACTCTAGGTAGATACATGGAGAATAATATATTAAGAGACATTAAGCTGCTCCCAGAATCTTTTGGGAAAGGAAGTGCAGTGAATAATTCTTGGACACCACATAGCCAGGGACAACACAGGCAGAAAAACTGCCCAATGACACTGTGGTTCTTCTGTAGCCAGAACACCACTGACACAGCCTGGTGCCTAAGGCCCTTGAAACTAGATGTCAGATACTCCATTACAGCCACCACAGCTGAAATAGATTTCTCTACCTGCATATATAGCAGATGATCCAATCTCTCTGAAGACGGCTTCTACTGCATGTTGTTCACTTGTGCATCCAAGTCTGGAGTAGATGCAGCTGAGTGGGATGCCTGTACCCTAGCTGCAAGGGAGTTTGGGAAATGTAGTTTTTAGCTTTCAGCCTCTGGAGTAGAGAAAAGCAAGTTGGAAAGGACGAGCTGCTAATTATCTATCTAATCTATAAATTGGAATAGGGTTATTGTGAACATTAAAGTAATATTTGTAAAGCTTTTAGCATAGTACATAACACATAACACATGGTAAATATTGTTATCATAATTATTACCCTCATTATCATCATCTTCACTATTGATCTGATACAGACCCAATAAAATAAGCAGGGGTTCAAGCTCAACTATGGCTGCTTGGCAGCCAATCATGACTCCCTTTTCAATAGAAGCTTGTATATTAGGCCTAAATTTGTCATATCTAATAACAGGGATGATTTTTTTCACCGCATCTTTCCAGCTTGCCACCTCAGGACACTAACTTTGGCCAAAATGTCAATTGCCTTGTTATCTAGGCTAGTACTTCTGAAGCCTTAATGTGCATTTAAATTACCTACGGGTCTTGTTAAGGTGCAGATTTGAATTCTGCAGGTCTAAGATGGGGCTTGAGATTTGGCACATCTATTTTTTTTTTTTTTGAGATGGAGTCTCGCTCTGTTGCTGGAGTGCAATGGCGCGATCTCGGCTCACTGCAACCTCTGCCTCCCAGGTTCAAGCAATTCTCCTACCTCAGCCTCACGAGTAGCTGGGATTACAGGCAGGCGACACCATGCACGGCTAATTTTTGTATTTTTAGTAGAGATGGGGTTTTCATCATGTTGCCCAGGCTGGTCTCGAACTCCTGACCTCAAATGATCCACCCACCTCAGCCTTGAAAAGTGCTGGGATTACAGGTGTGAGCCACCGTGCCAGCCCAGCATTCTAATAAGGACCCAGTTAATGCAGGTGCCACTGTCCTGCAGACCACATTTTGAGTAACAGATCTAGATGACAAAGAAGAAAATGTGAGCTCCCCAACCACATACCTCAGGAAGAGACACAGCGAAACATTTTCCTTGAGCTCTGTTTTGCATCAGAAGACAATTGAAGTTACAAAGATAAATCAAGTAAATCCATCAAAGTAGATCCTTTGTAGAAATTCAGTAGGGAAAACAAAAAGGAAACTTTCTAAAACATCAATTATGGAGACGCTCTGAACTTCTGATTTTTTTAAAGAGCGTATTAAACAACATCTTTAAAACCAATTTACTTGAAAAATTAAATACGGAATGTATTCACATGGTTGAAATATTTATGGTAAAATCTTACATCCACCCATTTTTCCATCCATCTAGATCTTACCGCCATCTCCCCATTCCCCATACCCCTGAGTTACCCACTATTATTAGAGGAAAATATTTTAAAGAAACCAAGAGACAGAATTGTGTTAAAATGAAAGTAGAGAGTCTAAAGTAGAAAGAATGCTCATCTGGAAGTGATGAGACTTGACTTCTGTAACTGGCCTTAATGCTAGTCGGCTGTGCCATCTTAGATAAGTATGAACTCTCTAGGTCCCAGTGTCCTCTCCTGTAAAATAAGCAGATTGAGCCATAGAGATGGCAAATGAGTTCTAATTCTTAGATCCCTAATCTCATCACCAGGCTACAGAAATTCTGTTGAGAAGGATTTTGAGCCTGCCTATGATGTGAGACAGAAAGAGTGGCATAACTGATTAGCGTGCCTTACACAGACACTAGAGAGGAGGTGGTGAGGCCATGTGTTGTGCTCTTTTTTTTTAAATTTTTTTAAAATTTATTTATTTATTTATTTTTTATTATTATACTTTAAGTTCTAGGGTACATGTGCACAACGTGCAGGTTTGTTACATGTGTTTACTTGTGCCATGTTGGCGTGCTGCACCCATCAACTCGTCAGCACCCATCAACTCGTCATTTACATCAGGTATAACTCCCAATGCAATCCCTCCCCTCTCCCCCCTCCCCATGATAGGCCCCGGTGTGTGATGTTCCCCTTCCCGAGTCCAAGTGATCTCATTGTTCAGTTCCCGCCTATGAGTGAGAACATGCGGTGTTTGGTTTTCTGTTCTTGCGATAGTTTGCTGAGAATGATGGTTTCCAGCTGCATCCGTGCTCTTTATGTCTCTGAGCTAGATGATTTGGAGGTCCCTTTGAATTCAGGTGATTTCAGCAGCCATACAATGAGCATCTACTTTGTGCCAGGTCTTCTGCCAGGCATTGGAGATTAAAAAAAAGAGAATAGCATGCAGTCACCACATAGCCTGTACAGTTCATAGAAGCATAAACATTTTCAAGTGGGATGAGACCTTAGAGATTATCCATGTTAAATTCCTCTTTTATAAGCAAATAAATTATTATTATTTTATTTTTATTTATTTATTTTTTGAGTCGGAGTCTCGCTCTGTCACCCAGGCTGGAGTACAATGGCACAATCTCTGCTCACTGCAACCTCCGCCTCCCGGGTTCAAGTGATTTTCCTGCCTCAGCCTCCCGAGTAGCTGGGATTACAGGTGCCCGCCACTGCGCCTGGCTAATTTTTGTATTTTTAGTAGAGACAGGGTTTCGCCATGTTGGCCAGGCTGGTCTCGAACCCCTGACCTCAGGTGATCCACCTGCCTCGGCCTCCCAAATTGCTGGGATTACAGGTGTGAGCCACCGCAGCCGGCCGCAAATTAATTATTCTTATACAGCTTATTTAGAATGGCCTTTAGGTTCAGCACTGCTGTGATACATTTTTCTAAGATGTTCTAATACTTGTCTTCCTCCAGACTAGCTTATCCAATACAGTAGCCAGTAGGCACATGTGGCTTTTTAAATTTAAATCTAAACTAATTAAAATTTTACAAAATCGAAGATTCAGGCTGGGTACCGTGGCTCATGCCTGTAATCCCAGCACTTTGGGAGGCTGAGACAGGGGCATTACTTGAGGTCAGGAGTTTGAGACCAGCCTGGCCAACATGGTAAAACTCTATCTCTACTAAAAGTACAAAAATATTAGCCAGGCATGGTGGTGCACGTCTGTAATCCCAGCTACTCAGGAGGCTGAGGCAGGAGAATTGCTTGAACCTGGGAGGCAGAGGTTGCAGTGAGCCAAGATTGTGCCACGGCACTCCAGCCTGGGCAACAGAGCAAGACTCCATCTCAACACAAAGAAAAAAAAAAGAAGATTCAGTTCCTCAGTTCCTCAATTATACCAACCAAGTTGTTGAATGCTCAATAGCCACATGTGGCTGGTGGCTACACTATTGGTATTGGACAGCACAGACATCGAACACTTCCATCACTGCCGAGAGCTCTATTGGACAGCACTACTCCAGGGAATAATTTTCACACATACAACTTGATTTAAAATCAGGATGAAATAAGAAAGGAAAGCCGCAACGTGACCCTCTAGTTCTGAGATGCCTGTAATGACTGATGTTTAAGGTATATAACTAAAATAGGATGAAGGGCTTTTTCTTTAATGGTGTAGCATTTTTTAAAGCAGAAGTGTCCTCTTTCAGCGCTCAGAGTAGCTTGCTAAGGCCTCCATGCTAAGAGACTTCCAGTAGTGCTGTTCAGAACGCTTCACTAATTGCATCATTCTCTTCATAGTGCACAGGTCTTTGGATCCCTTTGTTTAAAAACAAAAAACACCCATTTCCTCCCCATGAAGCTTGCTTTTGTATTTTTCAGTGATTAATAAGGCAGTAGGACTCACAAAAAGTGGACAGATATTTTTCCTCTGCCTGTACATTTTACACTGGAGCTAAAATAACCTAAAGGGACCACGAAAAAAAGAAAAACCGCTGACACTTCAAAGCACTGTTATCCACATATGACTCTTAAGTCCAAAACACCATTGCAAATGTAACTCACAGTATTTTATAGTCATTTACTTCTCCCCAAGTTAGGGTTGCCAGATAAAATACAGGACACCCAGTTAAATTTGAAGTTTAGATAAACAATGAATAATTTTTAGTCTAAGTATGTCTCATGTACTATTTAGAACATACAGTAAAAAATGTATTTGTTGTTATCTGAAATTCTTATTTAACTGCTTGTCTGTCTGTGTTTATTTAACTGAATCTGACAATCCTAAACCAAGTTGAATTTGTAAGTTTTTATTTGGAAATAAGGTTGACGCAATCCATAGACAATTAAAAACAAAGCAAAAATGAGAGGGGCTCCCAGGAACCCATTAAAAAGTTTACAGTGTCTTTTACCTGGTAGACGTTGTTATGCCAGAGTTTGCCCTGGGTAAACCAGTTCCTACTTGTCATTCAGACATCACCTTAAATGTTACTGTTGAGCAAGATCTTCCCATGCCACCCACTCTTTTTTTTTTTTTTGGTTTGAGAGGAGTCTCCCTCTGTCGCCCAGGCTGGAGTGCAGTGGCCGGATCTCAGCTCACTGCAAGCTCCGCCTCCCGGGTTCACGCCATTCTCCTGCCTCAGCCTCCCGAGTAGCTGGGACTACAGGCGCCCGCCACCTCGCCCGGCTAGTTTTTTTTGTATTTTTTGGTAGAGACGGGGTTTCTCCGTGTCAGCCAGGATGGTCTCGATCTCCTGACCTCGTGATCTGCCCGTCTTGGCCTCCCAAAGTGCTGGGATTACAGGCTTGAGCCACCGCGCCCGGCCCCAGCACCCACTCTTAAGTGGTTACCAAGGCTCCTTTATCTCCTTTTTACATTTTATTTTCTAATGGCACTACTTGATATTTTTGTATTTTTTTGTCTGTTTGTTGCCTGTCCCCCCACTATAATGAAAACTTCTTTATTACAGACAGTAATCCTGTCTGTAACATTCTTTATTATACCTAGAAGTGTGCCTGACACATACTTTAAATATGGACTCATACATTTTTGCAGCTTAAAGGCAATATAGGGAATTGGTTTTAGAACATAAGTTTTGGAAATCAGGTTAAAATTCTGGCTCTCTCTGTGATCTTGGGCTCCTAATCAACTTAGGCAAATACCTTAACTTCGCTAAGACCAGTTTATTCATATGAAAAATGAGGATAAAAAAATAGAACTAACCTCTTAAGGTTATGAGGATTCAATGAGATCAGAGTCATGTGAGAATTGTAGTCAGGACCCAGGGACAGGTAGGTGCGGATCCACCTCTCACCACCACCACTCAGGAAAACTCCTACATCTCAGTTTCTCGATCTGTATTTTACATCTCTTACCATTTCATACAGTAGGAAAGGATATTACATGTTATGATGCACATACAGCACTCAGCACAGGGCCTGGCATGTGATAACTTTGATAAGTATATTCAGTTAACACCTTTGAAATACAAGACCTGCACTTTTGATATAGGCTAGGAACACGTGTACAGTATGGTTGAAGTGTAAGAAAAAGTACCTGAGAGACCACAAAACTACCTTTTAAGAGTAGAGTCATCCAGATTCACCCATGTTGTCACAAATGACAGGATTTCCTTTTTTAAGGCTGAATACTATTCCATTGGATATATACACCACATTTTCTCTATCTATTCATCCATCGATGGACACTTAGGTTGATTCCATATCTTAGCTATTGTAAATAATGCTGCAGTGAACATGGAAGTGCAGATATCCCTGCACCAGATTGGTTTTAGTTCCTTTGGATATATACTAGGAAATGGGACTGCTGGATCATATGGGAGTTCTAGTTCTAGTTTTTGAGGAACCTCTATACCATTTTTATGAAGGCTATACTAATTTAGATTCCCACCAACAATGCACAGGAGATCCTCCCTCTCTGCATTCTTGTCAACACTTATCTTTCATTTTTGTAAAAATGAAAGCCACTCTAATAGGTATGTGGTGATATCTCATTGTGGTTTAATTTGCATTTCCCTAATGATTAGTGATACTCAGCATTTTTTCATGAACTTGATGATTTGTATATCTTCTTTGGAAAAATGTCTGTTCAGGTCCTTTGCCCATTTTAAAATCAGGTTATTTTGTTTTCTTTCTCTTTAGGTGTTTGAGTTCCTTATATATTTTGGATATGAATCCCTTAACAGATGTATGGTTTGCAAATATTTTCTCCCATTCTGTGGATTGTCTCTTCACTTTATTTATTGTTTCTTTTGCTGTGCAGTAGCTTTTTAGTTTGATGCAATTTGATTTGTCTATGTCTGTTTCTGTTGCTTGTGTTTTCAGGGTCATATGTGAACAATTACCAGACTGATGTCATGGAGCTTGATATGGTTTGGCTGTGTCCCCACCCAAATCTCATATTGAATTGTAGCTCCCATAATTTTTGTGGAAGGGATTGGTGGGAGATAATTGACTCATAGGGGCAGTTTCCTCCATACTGTTCTCGCAGTACTGGATAAGTCTCATGAGATCTGATGGTTTTATAAGGGAAAAGCCCTGTTGCTTGGCTCTCATTCTCTCTCTTGTCTGCCACCATGTGAGATATGCCTTTTGCCTTTTGCAATGATTGTGAGGCCTCCCCAGCCATTGGAACTGTGAGTCCATTAAACCTCTTTTTCTTTATAAATTTCCTAGTCTTGTGTATGTCTTTATCGGTAGTGTGAAAACAGACTAAGACAGAACTTTTTCCCTATGTTTTCTTTTAGTAGTGTTACAGCTTCAGAGCTTATATTTAAGTCTTTAATCCATTTTGAGTTGATTTTTTAATATGGTGTGAGACAAGAGTCCAATTTTATTTTTCTGCATGTGGATATCTAGTTTTCTAAATACCATTTGCTGAGGAGACTGTCCTTTCCCCATTATGTGCTCTTGGCACCTCTGTCAAAAAGCAATTGACCATAAATGCATGGGTTCATTTCTAGGCTTTCCTTACTGTTTTGTTGGTTAATGTGTCTGTTTTTATGACAGTACCATGTTGTTTTTATTAAAATATCTTTATAATATGTTTTAAAATCAAGGAGTGTGATGCTGCCAGCTTTCTTCCTTTTGTTCAAGATCACTTTGTCTATGTGGGGTCTTTGTGGTTCCCTACAAACTTAAGGATTGTATTTTTGATTTATGTGAAAAATGACATTGAAATTTTGATAGGGGTTGCATTGAATCTGTAGATCACTTTGGGTAGTGTGGACATTTTTACAACATTAATTCTTTCAATCCATGAACATGGATACCATTCCATTTATTTGTGTCTTCTTTATTTTCTTTCATCAGTGTTTTATAGTTTTTAGTAAACAGGTCTTTTAACTTCTTGATAAAATTTATACATAAGTAATTTTTTGTTGCTATTACAAATGTGATCATTTTCTTAATTTTCTTTTCAGATAGTTGATTATTAGTATATTAGAAATGCTACTGATTTCTGTATGTTGATTTCATTTTCTGTAATTTTACTGAATTCCTTTATCAGTTCTAACAGTTTTTTGGTGGACATTATGCTAAGTAAAATAACCCAGGCACAGAAAGACAAATACTACATGATCTCACTTATATGTGGACTCTAAAAAAGTTGAACTCGTTGAAGTAGAGAGTAGAACGATGATTACCAGAGGCTAGGGGATGGGAAGGAAGGCAATGGGGAGTTGTTGATCAAAGGGTACAAAGTTTCAAGTAGACAGGGAGAATAGGTTTTGAGATCTATTACACAGCAGAATAATTATTATAGTCAATAATAATATATATTTCAAAGTAACTTAGAGAAGAAATGTCAAATGTCTCTCCATAAAAAAGATAGGTAAGTAAGGTGATGGATATGTTCATTAGCTTGATTTAATCATTGTACATTGTATACATATATCAAAACATCACATTGTACTCCATAAATATATACAATTATAATTTATCAATCAAAAAATAATAATTTTTAAAAAGAATAGAGTCAGAGAAAACCTGGGTTCCAACCCAGTTCTGCACTATCTGTCATCTCAAGGATTGATTTCCTCAACTATAAATTATAATAATAAAAGGTACCTTAGAATTTTGTTGTATTAAATGAGGTAATGGGTGAGCATTTCCCTCTAGCTCACCAAAGTTCCTGGCACAGTGCTTGAAAAATATTTCTTGGCTAATACATGAAATGGTGCTTAGTATTCTATCTAATATCTAGTAGGCACTCAGCTAACATTCACCATTGTTTCTGATATTATTATTGTCATTCTTGTGGAGGTTGAGAAGAGTAAAAGTGAAAATTACCATTTGTGGTTGACAGACCAAGGGAAAGCTGTATACTCTTGGCTATAGAGATAATACTCTTTCAGGAATACCCAGCTTCAGACAGCAGACATTGCTCAGATCACTCTACATCTGATTCATCCTAAACTTCTCTAGGTTGTGAGTGATCAAACCATAGTATAAACACAAGGATCTGGGATAGGAGGGATTATATTTCTCTAAAACTAGCCAATAACTAGGTTTACTTATGACTGGAAAATTCAATCACGGCTACCACTGTAGCATCTCATTTCAACTCTGTGACCCACTAGTCCTGGAGTGAGTCCTAATTATGCAGTGTTTGTGTATCTATTTGGGTCAGTCTGATCTCTGTTGACCTTCATTTATCCTCTCCTCCAATAAATAAATAAATATTAGTTCAGAACTGTTCTCTTACTGTTTTCTTGAGAAAACGCATTTTAACTGTAGCCCTGCAAAGCTGAAACCTAATTCACCTTCTCTAGGTCCCTAAGCAGACTGTTGCTAATGTTTATCCATTTCTTTCTTTCTTTGTTGTGTCATCAGGCTGTCATGGTGTCCCTGCTGACAGATTACTCACCTCAGCTCCAGAAGCCTAAATTTTGATGTTGTGTTGCTTGTCAAGAAAGAAGCAATGTTCTTCAGTAACAGAATGAGTTGGTTTGTGGGGAAAGGAGAAGAGAATCTAAAAAATAAACAGATCCCTAACACATGGTATGGGTGAACTGTATGATATTGCTTTGCCATTGTGAAACTTTCCTGAAGCCTTTAAGTGCGGATGCACTGTAATACATGCTCAACTTTGCTTAAACTCTCTAATTCACAATTTCTGAGTTACATTTAGGTATCATATTAATTATCATATGCATTTACTTCAACATAAAATACTGTGTTCATAATGTATAATGTCTAAGCCATTAAATGTAATCTATGCTTATTACCTGAATAAATTATCACCCACGCTAATTTATAAGTAAACATTTACCAGGCAGTGAGCTACTGGTAAATCTGTGGGCTGCGTTCCTGTCCCCCAGGACCAACTAGAAAGCCAAATGATTCATCTTACAGATGTGGTACAATTTTCAGGCCAATGAGGTAGACAGGCATTCATTTATGGAGGCAAATAACAAAATTCTTAAAATATAGCTATTACTGTTCCCAAACTCTGAAGTTTTTTCCAATAACTTGTGAGAATGTGGTAGTGGGGAGTTCTTCAAGAGCATGCATCTCTTCTCTGTAATGAGTACTTACTGTTACAAGCCATAAGAAGCTTTTGTTAGCAAGTGGTAAAACCATGGATACCTAGAGTAGCATTTTCTTAGGTTCAAATTCTCCAGCAAGAGCAATTTAATTTTTTTCATGTCTGTGTTTATCATGCATCTACTCACACCATATGCTGAATATTTCCATAAATCTACTACTTGCAACATTTTGGCCAATCTTTTTCCTCGAATTTTTCTTTGGGATAATAAAAATTTACATTATTGAATTATTATAATGTAATTACAACTAGATTTCTCTTGTGGGTGACCAACATTTGTATTGCTGAATGATTATGACATAATTTGAATTTTGTAGTTAAAATGTTAAATAACATAAGTGAAGTTTTTTTAAAAAATTATACATTTTACAGAACACAAAATAATGTAATTTCCTTTACATTCTACATTTACTATTAGAAAAATGTTTCCAGGCTGGTTGACTGATATTCTTCAGCACACATCTCTGACTTAAATGAGTAAGCAAGGGATGAATTACAAATTAGATTTGCAATGAAGATGCAATAAAACATTTTTTTTTTTGTGGGGGAAAGAGGCTTATAATGTTACAGAAAAAAAAAATCAAATTTTCCAGTAAATGTCAAAGGTGACTTTCATGTCTGTGGTAATTTATTGGAAGCACTTAGAAAGAGAGTGGAGTTCAGTGGAATGTCTTCCAGCAGAGAGTATAACAATGATTTAACCAGAAGGTGTCATATGGATTGTGGAAGGCCCACCCTCAAATTGCCTACACAGAAAGAAGTGTCCTTCCACTTACCAAACGGTCTCCCATAGTAACAAGGTCCCATCTCATTCCTGGTTATTCTTTGAATTAAATGGATAGCATAGTCTTCTTCCCTCAATTGGAAAGAACTTGTAATAATTTTCTTGCCAAAATATAGTCCTTTTTTCCTCAAAAAGCCCTATAGCTTTCTTTATTGTGTACATACAATTTAACCTCATTCTCAGCCCAACTCTGTAGGAATGTATATGCTTTCTTAACTTTTCGTCTTAATCAGACATTATTTATACTGTCAGGAAAAAAGAAAATAGGGGAGGAAAATTCACCCTTAATTTTTGCAAAGCTGTTTTCATCTCCTCTTTCTTCTTACCCCTTTTCCTGTATAACTATTACAACTCCAAAGTCTAATGAGAGCTATAGAAATGAACCTTACATCTTTGGTGTACATGATAAATCCTATTACCTAACATAACTAGCCAAAGAGCTCTTTTCTTCCAGGATTTCTCCACAATAACATTGGGAGTAGAAACCACGAGTGATTACACTGCAATGATTTCAATGTCATCAGTTTTTGTTTTTGTTTTTGTTTTCAGTGATAAGTTTCCAGGTACTTTAGAAAAATAATTCAGTGTCAGGGCTGGGCATGGTGGCTCACGCCTGTAATCCTGGCACTTTGGGAGCCCAAGGTGGGCAGATCACCAGAGGTCAGGAGTTCAAGACCATCCTGGCCAACGTGGTGAAACCCCCCCCATCTCTACTAAAAAAGTACAAAAATTAGCTGGGCATGGTGGTGGGCACCTGTAATCCCAGCTACTCGGGAGGCTGAGGTGGGAGAATCGCTTGAACCCTGGAGGTGAAAGCTGCAGTGAGCTGAGAACACGCCACTGCCCTCTAGCCTAGGTGACAGAGCGAGACTCCATCAAAAAAATAAATAAATAAATAAAATAAAGAAAAATAATTCAATGTCAGATATTTCTCTTTTTTTTTTTTTACTTTTTCTTTTCTTTTTCTTTTTTTTTTTTTTTTGAAACAGGGTCTCACTTTGTCACCCAGGCTGGAGTGCAGTGGTATGCTATCAGCTCACTGCAGCCTCCACCTGTTCAAATAATTCTCCTGCCTCAGCCTCCCGAGTAGCTGGGACTACAGGCACGTACCACCACGACCAGCTAATTTTTGTATTTTTAGTAGAGACAGGGCTTCACCATGTTAGCCAGGCTGGTCTCAAACTCCTGAGCTCAAGTGATCCACTCACCTCGACCTCCCAAAGTGCTTGGGATTACAGGTGTGGGTCACCATAACCAGCCTCAATATCAGATATTTCTATCTGGAGATTGTGCTAATTACTTGACTTTGGTAGTGTCCCTGGGTAGAAAGATCTGCATAGAGAATCAGCATGGCAATGTCACTGTAGATCTCCTATACAAGTGACCCTAGAACCTCAGTTGAAATGTCAGAGCCCCCTCGGTCCAGTGCCAAAATTTCATAGCAAGTCTTCTCATGCGATAAAGATGAGTGAGCACTACATATGAAGAAAGTATTCAGAACACATTCCTTTTGAGCCTTTTCGTCTTGGAAGCTCTCACCGATGTCTTATATAGAGATGATTGAGGCAAATCTGAGACATGGTGCCACTCGGCAATCTTGTAGGATTGATATCCTTTGACAAATATAAAGGGTCATATTAAATAACAGAAAACCACTCAAGTCACAATGATCAGACTCCTATAACCAAGAATGCCACATACTGCCTTGCAAGTTCTGGTTTGTGTAAAAGTCTCAGGTGAAAGAAATGAATAAAGTTTGAGACCCAGTCTGCATTTCAGTTACCAAGTCTTGTGTCTCCTTACAGGCCTTGTAGCCAGGAGGAAGGAATGCCTTTTTTGTATGTTGTCCATGGAGAGGGGGCACTTTTTAGTAATTCATATACCCGAATAGGTGCTTTGTTTTAAACCATACAAAGGATCAGTGTCTAGTAGGGGAGACCCTGCCATCAACAACTTATATCAGGAATTTTTTCAGTATCACCTTGTACTTGAGGGCAATGAGACACATACAATGCGGTGATAGTTTTGGTGTCTTGCCTCAGTTTCTGCTAGGTTCCTTAAGACCCCATAGTGAAAATGATAGCGTCTGTCCATTTTGTGTGGCAAACATATGACATGAATCATTGAAACAAGTATTTGAGAATCAACCCTGTAGTTCTTTAATATTTTAAAGAAATTCTTCCCTAACAATTATTCAGAAAAATTAATATTAATTATTGATAAAAGAATCATGGTCAGATCAAATGGAATTGAATTCCCTGGCAGGTGCTAAAACATTTCACAGTCTTATTAGTGCCTCACTTATGTCCATGACAGTAGACTTAGTCTCTAATACACACTTTTGTGAAACTTATCCCCAGAGAAAATGCAAGCACAACTGCGTTCTGGAGCAAAATTATTAGGCAAATGAATTTTAAAACTGGAACAGGGTTTTTAAAAATCCAGTCTATCCCTTCATTTCACAAAAGAAAAAACTAGGAAATAACAACAATGTTCCTAGTATAGAAATATATTCAATAGGGAGGGATAATTCATGTGTTCAATGCGCCTCTGTAAATGATCTGGGATCCTACACATATAGCTGCTTGATTTGATTTACCCATAGGCTGAATGGGGAACGGGAAGCTGGCTGGTCCAGAGCTATGGCTCTATAAGGCCAAGGGATAGAGAGGAAAATTCACACCTTAGGCAGAAGTGGACACTGATATCCAGAGATACAAACAGAAACCTAAAATTACATCCATGTAGTAGATGCTGGTGGTGCCCCATCCAGATGCCTTTCACTTGGGTTCGTCCATCCCGCAGCTGCTGACAGGGTTTCGTGCTAATGCCTCACAGCCGACTCCTTCTTTAAAGTGCTGCTCTCAGGCACCAGGAAGTACTGTTAGCCCAGGATGTCAGACTCTCACCCTGGCCTGGCCACTAGTAGCCCACAGTTAATGAGTGACTGATATAGGGATATAAAAACTTGGCTCCCTTCTCTCCAGGCAGGACCAAGTGGGTGGGTGAAATTTCAGCCTCATAACGCCACGTGGGTGGGATCAGGCTGAAGCTAGTAACCACTTGAGACCACGTCCTTGCTTAGCTTCTCTCCACACTGCTCCCCCAACCCCTCTCTGACACCTCAACTTGATTGCCTTCTGCTGAAAGTGGGTCCTCAATAAATCACTGGCACAAGAATCCCCATCTCGGGCTGCGTTCTAGGGAATACGATCTAAGATGACCCATGAATAAGATGTTTTGTCGGTCTGTACTTCTCATCCTTCAGACGTCAAGGAGGAGTAGAGAGCTAAGAGGCTATTAGACGAATGTGGAAGAACTCATGTTTAGCAAGCAAAAACTCTTCCAGTTACCAGGATCAACCTTTTGTAGAAGACAGCAGAATATTAAAAATAACAAACACTGTTTTTCTGTCACATATTCAAATTCAAAACAGGAAATTTATTACCTGCATGGAATAGGAATGAGACCAATTTACTTTCCCCAGAGAAGAGGAGATTTAAGTTAACTGCCACAAGATTTCTGATTAACTTCTGTGGAATTTTAGCACCCTTATAGATTGGCAACCCCAGTAGCTGTTTAGTTGGTCTGCCCCTTGCCCTGGCTTCCTGAGGCTGTGTTGGCATACTTTAGTGCAAGAATGTCCAATCTTTTGGCTTCCCTGGGCCACATTAGAAGAATTATCTTGGGCCACACATAAAATACACTAATACTAATGGTAACTGAGGAACTAACAATTAAAAAATTGCAAAAACACTCATAATGTTTTAAGAAGGTTTACAAATTTGTGTTGGGCCGCATTCAAAGCTGTCCTGGGCCGCATGTGGTCCATGGGCCACGGGTTGGACAAACACAAGCTTGTTTTAGTGGTTCTCCAACTTAACTGTGCATCAGAATCCCCTGGAGGGCTTGATAATACACAGATTACTGGGCCCCACCTACATAGTATCTGATTTAGCAGATTTGAAGTCAGGCCTAGGAATCTGTACTTTGGCAAGTTCTTAGGGATGCTGATGCTGCTGGTCCAGGGACCACACTGAGATCACTGGTCTGAGGCAATTCTGAAGGCTTATATGAAGGGGTTTCACCCCCCATATCCGTAAAATACCACTATAAAGTATATGACACAACCCAGATTGTCTGACTATTGCTCTGTCTTAGGAGTCACTGAGGCCTGGGTTTCACCCCTCCTCTACTGTATAACAGTTATCCAACCCTGCTCTTCTCATCTGTAAAATGGGAATAATAATATTCATCTCACAGAGTTGTTGGGAGAATTAAATGCAGTAACATATATAATAGTATTTGGCTTAGAGCAAATGCTAAACAAATATTAGCCCCCTTTTATTTGTTCAATTGTTTTTAACACCGTCTATTGTTTCTTTAGCCCTTTGTAAAAATTTATATCCCATCATCAGAAAGATATTGAGTGGAATATTTGGTATAAAAAAAGTACAAGGAATGAACTTGTCTTC